AAAACCCCAAAACCCCAAAACCCCAAAACCCCAAAACCCCAAAACCCCATAGGCCAAGATTTATAAGAATTTAGTTAGAATATATAGATCATGTCAAATGAATATCTTTAATGGTATATAATCAGGAACTGACTGTGAGACTACCACTCAATAGTAAATGATATTTATATGTAAGAAATTTAGATAGAGGATATGCCCGTCCGTGTCGTATAGTGGTTAGTACCCTTCGTTGTGGCCGAAGAAACCAGGGCTCGAATCCCTGCACGGACATGCCTTTTTATTTTTACTTTTATCTATTTTATTTATTATTTTAAGAATTATTCAGTACCAGAATTTACTCGGATCTACTTAAAATTTGTCTTCACCGTTTATTACATAAAGCCTAGGATACTCCAAGGCTATTAAAAGTGAATAAAGATAGATACTAGAACTTCAAATGACTGTAAATTCACGAGATTAGGTTGAGATTAAATGTTAAGGAAATTTATACAAGTAATTACACAGAGACTATTTTTCAAATAAATATCAGTAAGATTCGGTGAAACAAGAAGTTTTCACGATCTCTCACCCCTAATACGCCTGGCTAATTGCATATCTTTCGGCATGATGGTAACTCTTTTACCGTGTATTGCGCATAGATTTGTATCTTCAAATAATCCAATCATGTATGCTTCGGCAGCTTCCTACAGTGCAAGTACGGCGGAGGACTGAAACCTTAAGTCGTTTTTGTATTCAGATGCTATCTCACGGACGAGTCTTTGGAACGGTAACTTCCTTATTAATAGATCGGTGCTCTTTTGATACTTTCTTATTTCTCTTAGTGCTACTGTGCCTGGCCTGTATCTATGAGGCTTTTTTATTCCGGCATTAGCAGGAGCAGCTGTCTTTCTTGCGGCTTTATTTGCTAAATGCTTTCTTGGGGCTTTAGCTCCAGTATTTTTTCTTGCAGTTTACTTTGTTCTGGCCATTGCTAATAAGGAGATGATGAGGTTTGGATTTGTTTTTATTATAGTATCCTTGTTAAGCCTGACTTAAATATCTAATTATTCGGATTATCTTGATTAATAATGGATTCTAGGGGATTTAAGTGCATATCAATTCCTTTTAACAGATTTAATTAAAATTGCACTTGTATATACTAACTGATTAATAAAAATTAAATAATTCAATTATCAAAATGTCCTATATTTCAGATTAATAATTTAAAGCCACAAAACTTTGAAGAATATTCCTGCAATAGGCTTTATGAAAATAGCTTCAAATATTTTGTCTAGAACGAAGACACTACTCTACCTTACTTAACGAAGGGCAGCAAACAACATAGCTAGACCCTCAGCAATGATGAAAGATGAAGACTTCTTGCCTGAAATAGAGGATAAAGAGATCGAATTTCAGACAAAGTTTGATTCATCACTTTAGATCATAAAAAAGCCTGACAATATGCTTAAACATCAGGAAGAATTCGGTGGAATACTTTATAAATATGATTTGCCAGTTGAAAACAGGCCAATAGTATTTAAATCTTAGCAAATATAAGTAGCTGAAGAACCTAATACTGCCACAGAGAACCTTTTGGATTTGCTAGAGGTCGACAAGGACACTGCATATGAGAGCTTTATCATCAAAATGAATCAAACCTTTAATAATGAAATTGATATGTATGGCAACATCAAGTAGGCTGGTGATAGTGATCTTAAGGTATATTTTGGCTTAACATTAATATCTTATCCGAATACATATTAATAAATTTCATTAGGTGCTCGAGTTTGGTGTGCCTATTCCATTTGAGACTCTTAATAATGAGATAACAATGAAAACATTCAGAAGTTTGTTCAGGTATAATCCTGATATCCCAGGAGCAATTGAACTAGTTCATCCAAATAAATTCCTTCCAAGTAAGTTTCCAAATTTAAATCTAATTCAAATTAAAGACTTGAGACCTGTTGAAGATTTCAGACACACTCCTTTAATTCCTATAAGTGAGAGGGATCTTGCATTGAACAAAAGAAAAATTGAAGAAGCCAATAGAAAAGGCTACTATGTGGAGATTAAGAAGGACACACTTTACTTCTACAGTAAATGATTAGGATGATATAAAAAATATAGTGATTGCAATACTTTCATTGGGCATAATAGGATATGCGTTCTTAATGATGAATGAGAAATAAATGAAGATTAAGCATGATATTGATAGAACTAGAATGCTTAGGCAAAAAGCAAATGCTGGAAGCAGAGGAGGTAACATCACTGCTGAGAGAGCAGTTGAAGATCTCACTAAAGGTCGTACTATAATGTGAATAGTATTTATAATTCAATAAACTTAAAATGCAAATTACTAATTATCACAAGCAACTTTATCAGCCATCTAATTAAAATTAGTAGCTATATAATTAGAAGTAGTTTATGAAGCAACTTGCAAACATTTAATTTAAATACTGGCTCAAGGGGTTTTGGGGTTTTGGGGTTTTGGGGTTTTAAGTTTATTG